GGCTTTAGGGTCGAGGGTTTAGGTTCTAGAATCAGGTTATATTCTGTAGTCCTGCAACTACTTTTGAGATAACCCTAGTGTTTCAGAATTTACTTACCTAGGGTGTTGGAAGCCTGTGAACTCTAAACCCTAAACCCTAATACCCAGATCCCAAACCCCAAACCCCAACCCCCCAAGCTGCGTGATCTGAGGAACGGTGGAGGCGCGAGTATGCAGCCGTTTTGAAGACCCGAGGAGAGAGCCTTGCTACAAGAGAGTTTAGGGTTTAGGGCCCATTCTGGGTTGTATGCGCTATAGTCTAAAATCCTCAAAAGGGTTCTATACGTGATGGTATAGGGGAGTATTTGTAGGGGTTATTCAGGGGATGATAGGAGTGTAGGCTATAGCTCAATTGGCAATCCTTAAGTTGTTCAGACCTTAAACCCTAAACCCTCTATAGGGTCTTTGGGGCCTAGTTTTCGTCTGGACAACTCACCAAGCAAAATACAACGCTCTGTCCCTAATATATGAGCCCTGGAATACATTAGTACCAAAACAGGGAACTTAGATCACTCAGGGTCCCAGTAAAAGGAAAATGGATGTCCATAAGGCCGGGTAGATAATCCCTTCCCGCAAATATTCAAACCACCAATAGAATAGATGATAAATTCAGGGGCCTAATAATCCGTAAGATTATTTTTGCAAGGGCGAGATTACTTGAACAAGGGGCCACCTAATAATTATGGATTAGTGTGTGGCGGGGGGGGGGGGGTGTCCTGGAAGTCTGAATTCGATACTCAATTGACTAATTAATCAAATAGTCTCAATTGATTGAATATTCAATTCTGAGTCAAAGTAAGTAGTTAGTTGATTTCATTCATTTAGTGTTGATTTTCCGCGGAGACTCCGGAATATTTATTATTAGGAGGAAGTGATTAATTGAGTCGGGGGCTTTTAAGGTTTAGGGGTTTAGGACTTGAGCTGCAACTGTACGGCTAAGCGCTTGGGGTGCTCATCCGATAAGAAGACTTGGTTCAGACCTGTTGAGTTCAGTCGGACAGCCATGCAAGTTTCATGGAGTTCTCATCTCGCTAGAGAGAAATACTAAAGCCTACACCCTAAACCTTTCCCCTCACATCCTCGAATAGCTAAGTCTACGTCCATCTTGAGGAGCCCCCAGATATCAATGGATCATTTAGCCATTCCCCCTCTATAAATTGAGGCAAATTAAGGAGTGGGATATGGAGGGGTTGTTAGGAGAACCTGTAACATGTGCTCCAATGAAGCTGCCCATGGTCTGGAGAGCTTATGCTGGAGGTTTGTCACAGACAGGGTGCCCTTATAGAAAGTGATCATATGTAAACTTTGGATGGGTGCGGCCCCCGGTCATTACCAGTTGGCTAAGGTTTGTATGATAATTATATATAGCCCTTAATATACAACCCCTGCTGTAGACTGCTAATGGGCAGAGGCAGGGCCCAACAGAAACCTCAAATAATTACCAATATTATGATTCCATATTTCTTGCATAATTATAGTATATGGTACCTCAAATGGACCTAAACATGCTATTGGTCATTATTTAGGCCCCTGTAGTATACTTCCTTCTTGTCATGGGACCCTAAACCCTAAACGCTTGAGCACCTCTCCCTTCAGGGAGGCCAGCCTCCTTGGTTGAGCTACAGTCTAAACTCCTTAAAGAGGGTTATATATGGGGGTTTCCCAAAATTAGGGTACTTTTTCAGGCTCCCCATGATAAGGATTACAGTATTTTGGGGTCTATATTGGGGTCCCCTTATTTTGGGAAACTACCATATATTGGGTTATATAGGGGAGTGCCATAGGGGTTATTCAGAGGGATACTAGGTATTTAGACTATTATGGGTCATTTGAGATGTTGAGTCGCCCTTGCTAGAGGTGGTGGCTGTTCTTCAGCAAATGGTGTATAATAGTTCCATGATCTTGATATGGTGTTGTTTAGGCGTATTCTCATAGGTCCGGGTTTCCACCTAAACCCCAAGCCCCAAACCCCCATAGCCTCAGTGGTCTCAGGTTTCCACCACGAGCAGTGAGAGTCATTTGCTGAGCGGGGTACAGGATGACCGGTCCCGTAGATGGATCCATCCTCACACCCAAGCGTGCATCTGACGCACTAAGCATTGCCGCGTGATACAATTGATAATTACCTTGAACGCCTAAATGACCCTGAATTCCCAGTAGACTATGGTGCAGGATTTTGACCAGTAAGCTCATCTACTTTTGGTAGTCTATTCAGAAGTAGCACCCTTTTCGGTATCTTTCGAACTACAAACTCGGATGCTGAGAATATTTTTCCTTATTGCAAAGTAGGATCTGCTTCAGTACCCCTGAAGTACGTAGCAGGATCCCGAGATTCCAAATTTTATGAGGGTATCGAATTCTGCTCATTTTGACAGGTACAGGGTTTCCTGAACCCTGAAGCGCTTTCCCCTAAGCCCCAAGCCCCGACCCTTAAAGAGGGGAGGACCATGTCTCAGACACCAAACCCCTGAGACCATCCTGGCCAAATATGTGAGATGATGTTAATACTTGGAGAGTATATGAGGGGGGATTGGTAAGGGGGTTATGATGCGGATAGCAGGGCTTATTGCATGTCTTATACGGGTTCTAACTATACTTACTAGGTCCCATGCGGGCGTTCATGGAGTCCTTGATTGTTTTTCTTCGTGGCAGTGGATGTCGAACATAAAGCTCTGAATACAGGAACCCTATCGTGATACAGCTCTAAGTACCAAATAACCTCGTACTCCTGCACTCGAACCACCAGTACTGAGTACTAGCCAGGTTTAGAATGTAAGGTTCGTTGTCATGACCATATTTTCTTCCCGGCCCTCTGTAAGGGTCTTGGGCTTAGGGTCTAGGGCTTATAGGCTTAAGTGTAAGGGCTTAAGCTTCAGGGACCCTCTACCACGAACAACAACCTCAGCCGCCAAGAAGGCACAAAGGTTTCATAAGGGGGGTTGTCCCCGAACCCTAACCCTACGCAGCGTGGGGGGGGGCCCACACCCTTCAGCCAGTGATGGCCGGGGTCCCTCATTCTTGATCAAGCTAAGCTATACTCAACAAGTAGGGACTGCTTTAGTCATCCTAGATGGGAGTTTCCCAAAATTATGGGTACCATTTTGGGGTCCCTATATTAAGGACTATGGTTTTTTTGGGGTCTATATTTGGGTCCCCCTATTTTGGGAAACTACCAGATAGAGCTTTGCAAAATTCCCAAGACCTATCAGCCGAGTCTAGGCCCTAAACCTCCCTAAACCTTAAGCCCTCAACCCAGGGTTCAGGGTTCAGGATGTAGGGTTTAGGGTTTAGGGTCTAGCCCTCAACCCGGAACCCTGAACCCTAAACCCTAAGCCCTTAGCCCTAAACCCTACGCCAGCCATGTTCCCACGACATGGCCTGTTTATGTGTTTCACCTTTAAAAACTCCCGTGCCATGGATCCAGAGCTATGGGCAACTGCGTGCAGCGACTTTCTTCAGTGTTTAGCATGTAGGTTAAGGAATTCTGTTCCAATGAGACCTCCCAAGATCATTCCTAAACTCCAAATCCTAAACTGCTATGGCTGATATCTTATAAGGATCCTGCGAGACTTTAGTAGACCATAATGCCAGAATTCGTGGGTATAAGGTACTTAGGTTGCTTGGTTGGTTTAGAGTTTGTTGTTTAGGGCTTTGGGTGCAGGAGTTTTCGCGTCCACTGTATCCCTAAGGGGACCCCCCCATAGCGCCTCCTAATCTAAATCGTAAGACCCATTTCATGACCTGGAGTCTTCCAGGTTTCGTTACCTGAACCCCTAAAGTATCTCCAAGAAGGCCCCTTCAGTCTGTTTGTAATCTAGGGGATTAGGGTTTAGGGCTTAGGGAGGGTAATAAATTTGCTATTTCGATGTTTTGGTTATTCTGATCAGCCTACGAAGCTTTTGCCTTCAAAGCGCGCACGATGTTACGAGGGCTGGATTTGTGGCATGCTGGCGCGTTAGAGGAGGTGCAACGTTGGGACGCCAGAGTTCAAGGAATTTCTCAACCATACTGTCTCACGGCTTAGTGCTTCGGATTTGAAACCTTAAACCTTGAACCCTAAATCCTTAACCCTAAACCCTAAGCCCTAACTCCTTATAAGCTCTAGAACCCTAAACCTGAAACCTAAAACTCAAAGACCCTAAAACTCCTCACCCTATTCATGGAGTAAGTCCTCCAACACCATAAGTCCTTTAGCTTCTGGGAATCAAGGAGGGGGCATAGGCTTGCTACAGCTCAAGCTTAAACCCTAAGATTACAGGGCTGATAGAGTGCCTCCCAGGTGCAAAAGTTCCCCCATCACCAGTAGTTACAGTAAGGATGTTGTTCAAAGCGGGAGCACATAATCACCTGCCCTAAAAATCAATTTAGGATTCAGGGTTTGAAGCTTAGCCCCAAGAATGAATTTTCCCCCCAAGATATATAGGTGCTATTTCGGCAGTATGTGTGGATAGATGGGGTGGTTGTCAATACGACTCTTAGTTGAGCCCCCGGTTCGGGGCCACGCTGTGCCTAATAGATACCCTAAACCCTAGATCCTAAACCCTAAACCCAAAAGCCGCCCATCGGACTTCCGAGGCCTCTAATGACCAAAGACAAATACAATCCCTATAGACATACGTAGCAGCCCAGTTCCCCTTTAGGGTTTAGGGTTTAGGGTTCCATGTTCTTCTCCATTCGATTCTCTATTGGTCTGACCCCAGACCCAACCTGAGATGTCTATTCCATTTGCCAATTTCTTTTTCATTTGATTCTCCATGTTTCGGCCTTATTGGGGGTAATATATCCCATAGATTCCTTTTATATAGCCTCGTAAACAGTAGCTTCCATCTCATTGTCCTTTTTCTGCCAGGACCCTTAGAATCAGATGTTGTGCTGGCTTGCTCTTGCAGGTGTGTAGAAGTTTTTTTAGCATGTTTCCCAGTAAACATATTAGATTAAGGTTTAAGATCTAGGGTGTAGGGTTTTCAGTCTATCCGTAGTTCTAAGAAGATAGAACCCTAAACCCTCCTTTCCTCAACAAACCACTATGGGCAATTAGACACTGAAATTCCCTGTGAGGACCCTATTAAGGGTAGATTAAGTACCCTTAGGGTCTAATAGCCCATAGTGGAACCAAACAGCGGTGCATGGGCTATGCGCGAGCTTAGGAGGTTCAGGTAGGATCTGAGCAGTCAAAAAAAATGAGC